AAAAAATAAGTACTAGTATCTAATGGATAAGTACTAGTATCTAATAATAAGTACTAGTATCGGATGAATAAGTACTAGTGTCTATTTAATAGGTACTAGTATCTAATGAATGAGTATCTAAAAAATATGTACCAGTACCTAATGAATACCTACTACTGCATAAAAATTAAGTACTAGTCACTAGTGGAATACATACTAGTACAAACTGAATAGTTGATATCTCAATGATGGATCCCCATAGAAGTCAATGGCAAAAATGTAATTTTTTTCTAGTAACAATATAATAGTTACTAGTCACTATTGAAATAAGTACTAGTATCTATTGAATAATTACTAGTATCTAATGAATAAATATTAGTATCAAATAAATAAGTACTAGTATCTAATAAATAAGTACTAGTATTTAATCAATAAGTACTAGTATCTAATGAATAAGTACTAGTAACTTTACAAAAAATACTAGTACGTAAAGAATAAGCACTAGTACCTAAAGAATAAGCACTAGTAGTTAATGAATAAGTACTAGTACTTAATGGAAAAGATACTAGTATCTAAAAAATAAGTACTAGTAACATTAAATTAGATACTAGTGCGGTTTATAGATTAAATGTTAAAACGGCTTGCCATAGATATTGTCACTTAATTCTGAATTTACTTTCTATCTTCCTTTTAGTACCCTATCATAGACTTCATAGTAGGCTATGCCTTACAACAAAGATTAAGAATTATAAAGGATTATAGGAATTAGAAGAATTCTAGAAGAATTAGAAGAGTAGCCTAAAGTTAGTCAAGACAAAAGATGCTAAATTACCAAAGCTTGACCTGAAAGTTTAAAGCTGTTCTGAAGCTTAAAATCTGAGGATTTTAACAAACTGCCCAGTCAGGCAATAAAACAGATTTTGTAGGCTATTTAACCAAATGGGGAATCTTTTCAGGCCTACCTTCACTCGAGTATGTTTTGGGCTAGATACTTGAGTAAAATTCAGACATAATCCATACCTTTACTAAAGTGTAATTTCTTAGTAGGTATATTTTACATCTGTGGTCACCAAACTCTGCCAAACTGCCACTCCTCAATTTCAAACTCTAGTCTGTTTAATCCAGTCCCCAATTTAGCATGTAACTTTTCTAGCTTGAAACGCTCATCGTGTTTGCGCCATTTTGTCGCGTCAAAGTATCTAGGTAGCGACGTCAGAAATGTAACCTTTTTAATATCCCCACTCTTTTAGGAAGAGTTCAACGTTACAATTGTCTGGCCTGCAGTAGCCTACGTGTTTTTGTTGATATACGGCTCATCCGCCAACAGAGGACGCTGTTTTACCTGGCTCATCATCTCGGAAAGTAACTCGGAGCTCATCTGCTCAGGGAATTCAATCACACGCTTTGTCCTCATGCAGTGAGGACCATCTCCGCTTTGTTGATGCGAGATTAAAGTGGTGAGAGCAGTAGAGTAGTGCACTGTTTGCTATCATCCGTCTTGCTGTTGTAGTTTGTAAGAGAGGTCATATGATTTACATGAACGTGAATGTGACAGCGTGGAGCGTCTCCAAACCAAACTGCGGCTTGGTCTCAGGTCTGTGAGAATAAACAGCGTTTCTCGGGAGTGAGGGGTCAAGTTAAAAAGTCGCGAATGTTTAGCCGAAATCAGACAGCGAGAGCGACTATCGCTCGGGGCTCCGCGCTGGAGATGGAGATCCGCCGTGGAAAGTTCAGACAAAGTGTTTTCATGGAAACCCCGCAGGTAAATGAAGCTCCGGTCATCACTCTGTCCAGAGGCTCAGCTGGACTCTAGTAAATGTGCTAAGTGTAACTTACAGTAACTAGTAACTTACAGTCGGACGTGTACTCTGTTTTACACCATTATACTATTAATGTTATTTATTTTGGGGTGTTATCTTATATCAAATTGTATATTTGCACAGTAGTTTAAATAGGAGATAACGGGACATGTATTTCATACAAACAGAATAAATGACATAATGGTTGAATGACGTGATGTTTTGTATTGTCCGGATTGGTGGCTTATTGTGAGACTCTAAGTCAAAATGTCTAGGTGGTGTAACTGTCCCGAGAGTGTAAAAAAGAAAGAAAGTTGAAATTCTCTTGGCATAAGCAGTTTGGCACAGTCTTTTATAGTTATTTCTTTAAAAAAACATTTCAGATGATTTCAGATGATAAGACTTGCAGGATGCGACATGCAGGAAGTTATTTTGTACGTTGAACCCCTGTGACTTGACCCACACTGAGTGTCAAGGTAGTTGAATTAAAAAATAAATAAATTAAAAATAATAAATTAATTAAAAAAAATTTTTTTTTGAAAAGGCATCAGAATGCAAGAATATTAAACAATTAATTTAGTTAATTAATAAAAAAAAACTAAACTCAGTGCTTGGAAACAATTTTATGTAATCTAGATTACGTAATCAAAGTAGTCTGATTATATTAGCTGAAATGTGTAATGTAATTGATTATGTTACGAACCACAATTTTTGGCATGTAATTTGGAATCAGTAACGGACTACAATTTGTAAGTAATCTTATCTCATTCAGCACTGCCTATGCTTTCTACCTTGAACATATTTTAACTTAAAACAATTTATATATAATATATATATATTATAAGAAATAACTTTAGTACTTACTTGATGGTTACACCGCTTGACATTTTCAGTCACTAAAACAACATTTTCTTAAAAAATGGTCTAAACTTTTTTTTTCATTTTTTTTAAATGTGTGAAACAAACATGAATAGAAAGATTGCATTTCCAAAAGCTTTGCACAAACGTTTCAGTATATATTTCTCCTTTCTTATAATTTCTGACATGCTTATTTGTCATTGTCCTCAAGTACACATGATCTTATCAAACACTGCAGTAGATCCCTTGCATTCTTTTAAGGGGAAAGGGCTTCATGGCATCTGTATATGATTATCCCAGAGTAGGTTGAGTAAAGAGAACTCTGCCTAACCCCTAATTATTTTTATACGAAGCCTGCTGTGGTGAGATGGAAAGAAGCGTGGTTGGTTCCGAGTGTGGCTGTTGGATGTGTAGAGTCCCAGTGGCAGCTCTAAATTCCTTGTATGGCTTGGGTCCATAGTCTTCATTTTGCTTTGGTGACAATATGTTTATGTTTACGTTTTGTGCAGGAGGATTTATATCCATGTCAAAAGTTGATTTGACTTTCAGGGATCTTAAATCATGTGCTTATCCTAAATGTACAGGAAAAATCACATGCACTGTGTCACCGCTTTTGGTTCAGTTTTTGTTTATAGTAATGGTTCTCAACTAGGGGACCGGAGCTCACCAGGACCTTAGCAAACCTGCAGGATGGCCTAAAGATGACTTAAAATGATATAAACAATAAAATAAGCTGAAACAACAAAAAATATTTACAAGATATTTCTTATTTTACTCCCTGAACACCTGTTGTTTCCTTTAAAGAACCAGGATTCAAGTCTTGGAAAACCAAGAAAAAAATCTTAAAACTTCATGGCCATTTTTATGAATAATATGCATTGTGCTAGTTATGGCAAACTCTATTTTATAGTTTAAGATTTGTGAGTAAAAAATATTTTTTTTAAATCCTAAGCTCCCAAAACTTCTCTAATCCTTAAATGAAATTATTTGTATTTATTTTCATTCAAGTATTATAAAGGTTTGTTTTGTTTTTATTCTTGAACTGCTGTAATCTGAGTTTGCATATCTCTATCACTGATAAGATTTGCCCACTAGCCTATATCAGTATCATTTAGGCACCAAATGTACTTTCTAATTCAGCCCCTCATTCAAGATGCATGTGATTTCACTCAAGTCATTGTGTGCTTTGCTCAAAAGCCTTTAAGATGCCCCAGTTCCCCACTGACATCATATTACCCCCTTTAGACTGGATGAGATGTATTCTACTGTTTGATGTCTTCACCGTGGCTGCTGATTGGAAATCAATATGGCTTAATGAGAATCTTTTTAATGAGATTTTCTTACCTTTGCTTGCACACGCAGAGATGGGTGTCTTGATTGAACTTTACAATATCTTGCCCCAGTTTGTGTGTGAAACAGGCTGTGTGTGAAGGCTCAGGTGAAGCAATTATAGCGAGCGGTAGAAAGAAGGAAGATTGCTGGCTCAGTTAAGTAGACTTCAAAGCAGTAATGGAAAATTTGGCTCACAGATCTTGAGTAATGACTTTATTTAATGCTGACGTTAACTTTGCAGTGCACTTTTTTTTAATTGCAACTGCAACTGCTGCAAATTGCTACATTTTACTTGGGTTATGCTCTGTCATGCCAGTTGCCATTGAAATCAAACTGTCGTTTTTAGATTTGCTTAGTTTGCATACATTCTTTTGGTTTGCTTACAACATGGTCCATTAAAACCACAGTGTTTGCCTGCTGAGGACTCTGCCACATATAGATTTCCTTGAAGGAAGTTAAAAGTGATGTAGGTTGCATACCACCAGACACACCCTTCCTCCCACAGCGCCTGCTTCTTTCCTAACTGAGTTCTGCTTAATTCACTCTGTACTGGATTCTCCAAGAGGATTGCTCAATAGTATTGATGCTGCTGAGACAAATGTACCTCGTACCTAAAGCATTGCTTTCCTTAGACATGTATTATGTAGGCTACATTTTCCTCCAGCAGGCAAATTTGCTTGTTTGCACAGTCTGAGTTGCTGTTTTTTCCAGACTGTATTTTTTTTATGGTGATGTTTTCTCCATTGATGGGCTCTCCTGTGTATTTGCTTTGAGCACTTGACCATATACTCTGACACTGCTTTATAGGGAAGGAAGAATATTTATTGTAGACGTACAGTAACATTCAGAAGTTTAGGGTCAGTACATGTTTTAAATTTTTTTTAAATGAAATGAACACTTTCATTCAGCAAGGACACATTAAACTGATTAAAACGACAGTAAATACATTTACAATATTGCATCACAGAATCCTGAAAAATCTGATTGCAAAATTCTGCTATAATCAGTGAATCTCTCTACATGGCACAATTCATCTCTTATTTACATTGCATCTAAACTCAGGACTGAACAAACACCCCTCTGATTGGCCATTGCTTTCCAGAAATCAACAGACATGTCTGTGATTGGTTACAATATTCAACACTACAAAAACAGAGTGCAAACACAAACGTACATTGGATTCTGCTGTGAGTTGGTTGCCGCTTACTTTCAGTTTGTTGTTTATGTTTATTTAGTTATTAAAGTTAAGTTTCTTCCCTGAATCTTGAATTTTGTTACATACAGTACATACATATATATTATCCTTAAATCATCCTGGCGACCCACCTGAGGGTCATGACCCAGGGTTTGAAAACCACTGCATTATAGAATACAAATGATTCTCTGTGCACACTTTCATCTGTAGCTGAAGGTTTTAAAGTAATTCCACTCATATATTTGGCTTTCCAAGGACTTGTAAGGTCACACATTGCACTCATATGGTGCCTTTGTTTAGAATGAGGCAGCACATGCCATAAGCTAGAAAGGAGCTGATATCTTGAAGAAATGCAAAAACTTCCCCTCCAGCATGTTAGAAGAACCACCAGGCCCCAGAGAACAATGGGGAATCTTTCAACACTGGGGCCCAGACAGGAGCACATGCTTTTGGATTTAAACGAAGGGTTCTCTTGGTCCCTGGCAAAAAGCCCTGTTAAGAGGAACCGGATAGGAGGATAATTGTCCACGCTCTGATGTCATAGGAGCCTCGCTCTATTTGGTTAGTATGCCAGGCACTCTTGAACCTTGAGAGCTGAGAAGAGGTGTATTGAGCTGTTTGAATTCTGTATATAAAAGAGAGGGGATGTTTGAGTTTCAGTGACAACAGCTTTTTTTCACTTTCAATGTTTTTTTTGTTTTTTTTGTTGAACCAAACCCAGAACCCAAGAAGTATATTGGCAAAAACCTCTATTAATGAGAACAACATCCTGTGATTGTGTAGTGCAAGAAATGGTAGAGACCATAAAGAGGAGTGTTGGAAACACTGCATATAAGACATTCCAGTGTAAAAAAAAAAAAAAAAAAAAACAATCCCATTCTTAGGCTTATTTTGCTGCATATTCATATTTCTATAAATCATACAAGAGAATATATCAATATATTAAAACATATATAAAAAATATATTTAAACAAGTCATGGCTATTTTTTAGTAGTTTACATGGTTTGCATACATGTGCATGCATATACTGTATGCATAATTCGGTAGATTAAAGGGGTGACAGCTAATGTAATAAAAATTACTGTAATAACAGTAAATTATGCATTGTTGCATGCACTTTACCCTAAAACAAACCCTAATCTTAATCCTACAGTAAGTAGATGTTGTTAATTAATATTACTCAGTGCTTAACTACTGTAACAAGGACACCTTAAAATAAAGTGTAATGAATATTTCTATTTATAGCAAAATATGATATGAACAGGTGACCGAATACACTGTGTTGCAGTTCTTTATAAATGTCATGTGTACAGTAGCCACCAAATACGTTACTACACACTGTGGATATTGGAAACAGGCACAGTATTTTGCTGACGTTGACTTTGCTGATAACACCCTTCAGTATTGGCATGTTTTCGTCCTAAAAATGAATAGAGGCTCAGATGTTCACAACAGCAGAATGTCAAATAGTTCAGGACTCAACCCTGGATCTTGTGTTCAAGGACATCAAGATGTTCAGTCCACTCTTATCTTATCTCACTTGTGCAGCTGACATGGACATTATTCATACAATTGGA